ACACAAAATGAATGTCGCATCACGTCCCTTCGAGCTATGACGGCTGATACGAAAGAACAAGTGGTGGAAGCAATAACGTCAATTCTCTAATCATGATGCAGAAAGAACGCACCAATATATAGGTCGTTGAAATCAGCATCCAAATTTGCGGCATGGATTCAGCGACAACAGCGACTCCAATAAAGTGTTAAACTAGGGGATTTAGCTTACCTTTAAACCATAGGCCTGTCTTGCCTCAATGAGGTGTTCAAAAACTTGTTCGGGCTTGATTCTTGTATCCACAGGAAGGCACATGGGTAGACGTATGAAGGTTCCACGTGCAAAAACTGGCGCTAATGGAATAATACGAGCAAGGTCACGAAGAAAACTCACAACTGGGTAGTTAGCGGGCAAGAAGGGATGCCTTGATGCCCCAAAGCTGCCCCCACCTCCACGTCGCTGGGCTTTCAATACCTGAGGCAAAGCCCATGTCAAACTGGGCACTTGCAGTCTCTGACCAATGAGATCTGACTGGACTGAAATAGGCACAGTTACTTATTGATAGTCGCCAGATACCCTAGCCAGCTATCTATGAAACATACGTCTCAAGAAGGTATCCACATTCCTGAGGTAGAAGTCATAAAGGAAGGAATGAAGATGCACGCAATCACAGAGACGACTCGATTCTTCCCACTTAACTACATAAGGACTGCTGGGAATGGATGATGAACTCGATACTGAGACAGCAGCATTGGCTGTTGCTACGTTGCTGCCACTACCACCAGAAGGAATTGAAAATGGATCAATCATAGCAGATGCAATTTTCACAGCAGCCACCGCCGCCGCCCGACCAACCACATCCGCCGCCAATGGGCCTGTCAATACCGCTCGTGAGGCGGCGCGAGTCAAACGACATAACTCGATTGCCTTTAGGCGTACGCAGAAGATACAATCGTGAATGAAAATCTAGTAAAAAATTAGCCAAAAAACTTTTAACAACGAGCCAATTCTAGAAAGTAAAACAAAACTCCAGTCAGTTTTGTGCAAACAAGTGACCAGAGTGTTGATGAGTAATAAAACCTCACCTCTACTAAGTGGATGCCAGCCATTTTAACAGACCGTTGAAGAAGGGCATAAGGATGATCCAACTTCGGGGCCTCAGAGTCCAGAGTAGAGAGGATGACTGTAAAGTGCATCTGGCGAGTCATGTAGGTCATAAACTCCAGTAGAAGACAATCTGTTGTTTCCTGCATCCAAGAAGGCGAGTCTCGTGAAATACCAGGTGCCATAAAGGAAGAGGATGTAAGACGACACCTCTGGGTTGCCGCATTGGACTGCAATGAGGACTGCATTTCGCCTACCACCGGTGTGCTGAAAAAGTTATGAGGTAGGACATAGAAATGTCTGGTTGAAGCACTGAACTGGAATTGAAATGCATTAAGTGAATCTGATTTTAAGTTTTCTTTCGATCTACTCTCGCCATATCACTAGCAGTTTTGGGTTTCGTCCGATGCCTAGAGAATTAATGACTAATGACAAACCTCACTAGCATTAATCAAAAAGCATGACATAAAAGATGTGAAATAAGAATTTACTCTGCCCACTATCTCTTCAGGAGCTACTTCATAATATTTTTTTGTGAAGTTTCTAAAATTTCAAATGACGAAATAAAGACGCTGAGGAGATCGGAACCATAGATCCACTTCAAAATTTGCCTTTGTATTGCAAAAGAAAGCCAATCACTCAATGAAGTCAACAAAACACAAACTTGGATGTAAGTGTTTACGTCAATGGCGCAAAACGAGGATCAGCTAAAATCTCACTGACCTCGATTTCTCTTTCTCAACAAGATTCGTGTCGTGACCCTTGGCTTCACCCTTCTCACTACCTTGTTGTTCTTCTTCTCCTTCTTCTTCTTCTTCTTCTTCTTCTTCTTCTTCCTTTCCCAAGTTATGATTGGCCTTTTCCATTGCAACCTGTTCCAATTGCTGCAGTCTCAATGCTTC